CCCCCCCCCCCCATGCTGGGGCCCGTGTCTTCCGCCGTACCTCGCACTACCGGCACCTGAAGGCACCCCGCCCCCACCCACCCAACCTCGCCGCAAATGACACTCTTCTATCATGAGATAACTGTCGGGGAGGGAGTGACGACTGCTGCTGCTGCTGCTGCTGCTGTCGTGCGGCTGTCCTCTCGTCTTACTCCCGTCCCAAGGTTTACACCCCCGTCACCACGGTTGTCACCCACTAGAGCATACGCCCCACCAGTTTCTTCCTTTCCAGTGCCCTCTGTCTCCGCGCATGCACTCGCTTGTCACGTTCCCAGCCATCGCCGTTGTCAACTCCGCGTTGGCCTGCAAGAATGCTCTTTTGGGACTGCATCGTTCAGGCGAACACAACGGATATGGCATTGATGAGCGTCGCTGTCACTTCTGAACCCGATGGTACACCTCAAGGTTCTGAGTTGCACAGCTAGGTTCAGAGTGACACCGACGCTAATCAACCACCATGTTCGTGGCCTCGTAAGTCCAAAAGAGCATGTTGCAGGCACACCTGGAATTGTCCACGCTGATGGTAGGGAATGTGGTCGTGAGTGCCTGGGCGGAGGTGGTTTTTTGGAGTCGGGGAGAGCGTTGGGGCCTATGCTGTACACTTGGGTTCAGACTAACACGGACTGCCAGCCAACACTACCTCCGTCCGGAATATGCAGCTCGCAAGAGCATATTTCATGCGGAAGAGTAACGAACGTCGCACTGTTTAGCATCCGTTTCAGTCTTATGCAATCGTGCAAACTGCTCTTTTGAACCACGATTTCCAGACGAAGGCAACCAACATGGTTTTGTTTACCGTCCGTGCCAAACCCGATTGTACTGACCGTCAAATGCTTTAAAAGCAGACGGACTCCGAAGCTAGTTAATGCTATGTTCGTTGCCTCCGGATGTGCAGTTCACAAAAGCAGTTTGCAGGCGGGGGCACGGACGTCGTATCGGATAGTATCCGTGCCAGTCTTGATCTAATTGTACGAACTGATCCGCTATGTCCGGACGAAACGAAACCACTACGTTATTCAGTATTTGGCTTGAGGGTCCGTGCGAACCCAACGTACTGACCGTCAACGGCTTTCAAGAGCAGACAGACTCCGAAGCTAGTTCATGCTATGTTTGTCCCCTCCGTATGTGCACTTCAATTCAACAGAACAGTTCACTGGTGGCGGGGGCAAGGAACATGGTGCTGGATAAGATCCGTGTCATGTCTGAAGCCACAGTTTGATGCTTATGTTCATGGTTGTTGCCTCTGCCCGAAACACGCAGTCGAAATGCTTGTTTTGATGTCAAGGTGGCGAACAGAGAGAGAATGCAAAAGTTTCCCAGCAGCTAATGAAGAGGGGTCCCGCCCCGGAAATGAGAGCCTGCCGTAGCTGGGAGGCCAAAGAGCCATGACATTGTTATATATAGGCTACAGCAAGTAGCCCATTAGACTACTCAGTCAGCCGGGCGCCGGACTGAGGAGTCTACCGGATCAGCTAGCCTTTTCCCAGCGATGGTCTTGGCCACGGAAACTACAGCATGCAAATACTTCGTAGTGCACGGGCCCGCAGTTCAAACATTTTGATAAGAAACAGAGGCTCAAATGTCCACGGAAGGTGAGACTTCGGGAACACAGCTCAGCGGCGGATCCTATCCCAAAGTCTCTAAACCAACCGGTGCTCGACAGTGGTCATGACGTAAAAATCTGAGCCTCTACCCGATTTTGACGTGCTGCATCTATCATACTTCGGTCGAAACCACCCTTGCAACCTGAAGGTTACGCTGGTCTGACAACTTGATGATGGAATGGACGTGCAGGGGGAGTACATCACCAGCATGACAGGGATGCACGAATTCGCCGAGTTCGCAGCTGCAGATGTCGGCACGGTGGACAGCGGCCTGAACAGCATTGTCCTGGCCAGCAACAACGAAATGGTGCGCGTGATGTTTTGGTGCAAAGCGCGTCTGTGAACGTCGATCCCATGCAGATCGAATAGCTGATGACTCATAGTGGTTATGGTTTGTGTATTGATCGGTTGCCTTGCGCCCCCCGAGACGAGGGAAGGGGGTGGGCCTCACAGGGCTCGCAGCTCACAGACCCAGAACACAGAGCACGCTCTGTAGTCGAATAGCCCAACCGTCACTTTTGGGGATGACACACCGACACGTGAAGAGGCGCACTGCGTGCGTATGTTCCTGTCTGCTGCATGCTTTGGGAGGAGGGCGTTCTCATGTTCTGCATTGTTTGACTACGTGCCCTCGAGCGGACGGAGCATTGTTCCCACATGCTTGGGGGCGGGGCGGGGGGGGTATGGGAATGGTGTGGTGCTTGTGTTGGTCCCGGCTAGCTGGCGCGGGTTGATTCGTGTAGACGGCACGTATCGATGTTGTTATTGATAAGCCGCCCTCGCGCGACAAAGCAAAGCAAGCACGACCGGCAGGCGTTGGTGGTAGTCGCACGGCATCCAAGCGCGAGAGTTGGTCGGGCGTGTGGGGGTGTTTTTTCTTGGTCCCATGACAGTCGGGCAATAGGCAGCCCACCTTTGTGTCTTAACGTCGTTGCGTGGGCCCTCTACCCTGCCGCGTTTACGAACTCGTAGCACGCGCGCCGCTCTAGAATACCACACGAGGGAACTGCCGTTTAACGTTGTCTCGCAAGTTTTTTGTACCGATAGGCCACGTGGCCCCCCTCCCACTTTCCTGGTTTGCCCTTCTTCCTTGTTTTCTTCCCTTCGTTCCGGCATGGTCGTTATGTTTGTTGCAGGTGCTGCTTCCCCTGAACGAGCCGACCTTCGGCACCGCAAAGAAGAGCCAGATCCAAACCTTTCTGGAGCAGAATGATGGCCCTGGGCTTCAGCACATTGTGAGAGCATGAAGAGAGAGAGATGAACGAACGAACGGCTTGCCGGCCGATAGGCACTCCTGGAGTTGTGGTTTCAAGTCCTGCGAAACCACTTTCCCAAAACTCCCCGGGATGAGTGCGGTACAGTTGCACTTCTAAGCTACACGCAGTCACTGCTGATGTACCTGACATACCCTCGACCCTCCATAACACAGAACTGTTGTACATTTCTAGGTGTTCTTCGTTTAGCACCCTTTTTTGCAATTTATCCTTAAGTATGCATGCATAGTTCCGGTACACATCCCTCCCCGAGTCGTGCAAGAGCTCTGCACGCGGCATCCAGCTGCGGCATTATTGGGGGAGTTTCGTACACGTTCTGCGCACCAGGTCGCAACACCGTGCCGGGCTGCCTGACCTATTGAACCCCCCGGTGGTTCTCAAAAGGGGTATTTATGTCTGCGGTCATACGCTTGTGCTCGGTAGAATTTTGCCTTGTGTTATTGATGATGGTTTGTTGTACTGGACATAGAGTGGAAAGGAAAATTTGTGCGTCGAAATACAATGAAAACTACGGCTACTGAGCACAAGCCGAAGTATGCAGTCACACCACCAGAGTCCAAGCAGTTGGCCATCTTTGTCGAACACGCTTTGCGCCTGATTGTTCGCGGAGTAAGATTTTTTTGTTCCAAGAAAAGTTTGCGACGAGGTCTCCCCCCACCTCCTGTTCCATTCCCCCCTCCTGATTTCCTTCTATTTTGCCGGACCGAAACAAGAAACCGAACCGCGTCTAATGTCGGAACCAGGCGCTCAAGACGAACGATATCTTCCGTACGATGAGGCTCATGAGGGCGAACACGGGCCTCGGGGGCTTCGAGTTCATGGAACCGCCGGGAGCGGCTTACTACCGGGACGTTCCGCGAAGAATACCGTCCCTCACGGAAGACCAACTGCAGCAGCTCGAGGTGGGCGGTTTGTACGTAGCCTTCTCTGGCGCCCGTGCCATGAAATTGGGGGTGCGATCGTGTCGAGCCTTGGTAGCGATCTTGCAAATGCGAGTGTGTGTGTTATGGCGCGCGCGTCGGCTCAATCAGCTTAGAGGAAGAGACGAGTGGGGACAATGCATGTGCTCGTGGTTGTGTTTTCGTTTGCGTGGTGCCGTACGGTAGACCGTTAAGTCTGTGGTGTCACATAACTTCGTGGGCGACTTGAGATAACATACCCCCTAGACCGATTTCAACGCTCGATGATCACTCCACGACGAAGAGGATGCATAAACCAAACGACGAGTTTCCGAAAAGCTCTCGACGCGGCAGTTGCCAACGCCGCCACCTTCGGCATGACTGCTCTTTCTGCTGTCGAGTAGTCGAGCTTTGAAAAAAGCGGTCCAGAGGTGTGTGGTATCTTACATCATGTCACCTATGGTATGTTCTGTTCGTGATGTGTTCATACCGCGGTACCGGCAGGTTCCGCGAAGAAAAGCGGTGTTATCAGAACGGGTTTCCGTCACGGCTCGAGAGTCGATGCGTTAGCAGGACCTCGCGTTTAGCGAAGCGAACATTACGGGCGAACACCTCTCGCAATTTTTGACGTTCGTGGATGCCAGAGCGCCAGCACGACTTGTACACTCTTGCCACTACAACCTTCGTTCGCACTTGACGTTGTTGGGGTTAGAGCACCAGTATGCCTTCTACGCTCATGGAATGTCTTTTACACTCTTCCCCGTTTATTCGCCGTTGACGTTGGTGGACTTAAGAGCAACCGTATGCCTTCTGCACTTCGCCAATACAACATTTGTGTGCCCTTCCGACTGAGAAAGAGGAGTTCCATTGACCCATTCCACCCATACCGTGACCACGGGAATGCACCGGTTAAGTGTTTGACAAGAACGGACAGTTGAACGTTCTGGGTAGAGAGATCGGGACGGTTTTAAGTGTGAAGACAACCACAACAAAAACAACCCGCCGCCCGCATGCCCCAACCAATCAGGAGCTCGGCCTCTTAGCCGACAAGGACGAAGACGACGGCGTGCTCTTCCAGGTGTTCACGAAGCCCGTGGGGGATCGCCCGACCCTCTTCTTCGAGATAATCCAGCGTATCGGTTGCGCGTTCGAAGCCACGGACGGTGACAACGAGGGGGACCGGGGGGTCTTCGGTCCTGTAGGCGACGATGGGCGCGCGAGGGGGGATTCTTCTAGGGTCGAGGAGGGAGAGCTGTTGCAGAGAGGGGGATGCGGAGGCTTCGGGCTCGGGAACTTCAAGGCTCTCTTCGAGTCGATAGAGAAGTACGAGAGCACCCTCGCCACCGGCATGGATGCGTGACTAGTGACTAGTGACTTGTGTTTGTTTTTGGAAATATGCTTCACTGAATAGCTTGTTGTGGTGTAAAGGTGGTAAGTTCAGCGTTCGGTATGCGGGAAAACGTCACACTGCTGTGCGCGGTGTTGATTGAAAGTCCGGTATTGGAATGAGACAGACACAAGGGGCAGGGATGCATAGGTGTCGTCTTATTTCTTCCTGGAATGGATCCAACGGCATGAACGTAGAGGTCTGTCTGTAGGCCAGACAGGTGTAGTAGTCTGGGTGTGTCGATAAACGAAAGGTAGATGAGCAGAGATTCGAGGTGCATGGTGGCACTCTCTGGTGGTGGTTATACAGGTGGCGGTCGATGGTTAATAGCCTACCGAGTACAACAATAGAGGCAGACAGACGTTGATAATCTTTTTTTCAGGCCCCCGCGTGGAGCTTGTCGTCCCTACCTAGTTGAGCTTGTTGTATGGCATGACCAGAACAATTCGTGCACGTACCGGTGTCGTTAGCAGGGCATCATGGATGTTGTAGTCGGTGTTGGTTGGAAGCCTATTTGTAGGCAGCTGTACTAAATTGAAAACGATGCTTTATTTCCCCTCTTCTCGCATTGTTACGAGAGTTGCACACGAGAGCGGTGTATTGAGGTGCTGCTACATGCTTTTATGAGTGACAGCCTGCCTGCAGACAAACACTCAGACTCACGAGCAGAACAAACCGAACGTATTTGTGCATCGATCGACGGGATGTAAAAAGTAAAAATTATCACCGCAACCCGCCAGCAACACATGCGGATTGTTGTGGTGGAGTACTACGGATTTGCGGGCGGGCAGTTAACCTTGTTATCATGTCCTGTGCCTCTTCGTCCCATCCATTCTGTCTGGTGCCAGTCCAAAACCTTTCAAGAACATTATTAGCTAACGGGGCGACATCTGTTTCCATGTTTGTGTTTGCAGTTTTAATAGTTTTTTTTTTGCGAAAAGAGTGGCCCGTATAGGGGTACGCTTTTGTTTTGCAAAAAAAAAGATGTTTAGAGGGATCGTGTGTGGATGTATGTGCGCACGAGAAAAAGAATAATTTTCATGCCCACAGGGGCGTGAAAATTTCGCGATGGCTGTCTGTCTGTCTGTCTGTCTGGTGTCTGTCTGCGCGCCCTAAATAACCCAGCCGACTCGAGCCCATTTCACCATCTCGGCACCAAATTGCAAACTAAAACTTGCGCACAAGTAACATTTTGCCCGAGCTGTCCCACCGCTACCTTTGCAATCCGTGGTCGGTGTCTCGAGATAGCACACCGTTTGTGCAAACATATATATATGTCACATGGACGCATCCCCGACTTCTCGGCCGGGAGGCGTCATTTTTGTTATTTGGGCAACAAACTACACGCACGCAAGAAACCATGACGCAACGGCCGTGCTGCACACACTGCTGCTGCTACTGGCAAGACACGCACTACACAGAGACAGGGAACATGGACAAGAGGGGCGGGACAAACACACATACTGCTGTAAGCGACGGCGGAGGAAGCGGGGAACGTTTGGTTGGTCTGGGGTTCATCGCTGATGATGGTGTTGTTGTTGTTTCCGTTGTTTGTTGTTGTTCAACGCTGCCGGCCTTTCGCCTTTTCTCTACCAGCGTGTGTTGCACACACCACACAGCGAGAGCGGGACGGGAGCAGGGTGTGCCCTATACTACTGCTGCTGCTAGCTTTCGGCGGAGGAAGCGAGAGGAGAGATATNCTGCTCTGGAGAGAGGCATACATACATCACAGCACGGGACCAGTAACACATCACGCTCGTTCCTAGACGATGTAATGCCACTGCTGTGCTGTGCACCTCTCTACACTCATTGTGGGCGAGAGGGTATGTCGCCTCTGCTGCTGCTGCTGTTGCTGTTATCTAAAGCGGTGGCGGAAGCGTCCTGTTCAAACAATCAGCAGCATCAGCACCAGCCGGGGAATTTTTCAACGTTTTTATTTCCCTCTCTAGCTGGTGACGGACACCCGGGTTGCAAGGGGCTCCGTACACCCCATTTTTCTTTTTTTTG